CCCGCCTGGAGTTATGTTACGAAAGCTATACGTATTCTGAAACTACAGCTTCAAGCCACCAGGGAAAGTAGGTAAGTTTGAAAGAAAGTAGGATACAAATAAAAAAGAAAGGTACACAACTGAAGAAAGATAGAAAATAAAGCAAAAAATTATGAAAGATCAAGAAAAAATACAACAGCAGAAGAACACGCAGTAAAACACTAATTACTTTCAGTGACGGAAGAGTAACTCAAGCCTTATCACTGATGCGACAGGCGGCGGCTATACAGGACACAATGGTCCTGTTGACTACAAGCCCCACCCTTCTCTTCCTTCCAACCTATGAATTCTACGGTGACTTGATGCTGGGGAGCGGAGACGGGGCCGCTGCTGTTCCCCTCTACACCCGGGCCTTGAAGGATTATCCTAATAGAACAGGTGCTGTTTACCAATGTGCATAAATTAATTGGTAGATTTGTAGTTGTTGTTGTTTAAATTTAAGGCGACATTTATACGAAGAGCATTTTTAGAGAGGTTCCTTATTTAATATTTGTTTTCATCAATTTCAAAATCCGATCATTTATCGCTCTAAACTAACGATATCTGATTTTTATTACGCATAATTTAAGATTCTAAATTGCGGACAAAATTGCAAACTGCTTCGATCGTCCTTACGAAGCTCTAGTTCATAAGAGAGGCTAGATCCGAGTTTTAAAGTGAGCTCAGAGTTGAATTTAATTGTAACAAACCCGAGATTTCTCTCTCAAGCACTTCTACCCGCGTTTTCTGAGCGCATAAATAAAAAGAAGTAAACAGAAGTGCTCAAGGACTAAAACATAATTTCTTCTTTATTTCACCACTACACAGCCAGTCTTCTTGGCCTCGGCCGAGCGCACGTGATGGCGGGAGATAACGCCAGTGCTCTGACGTACTACGAGAGGCTCTACGACGCCATCTGGACAAGCTCGGATGATTTCAAGGCCCGAAGGGACGCTGGCCGGGTGCTGTCCGGTCTAAGGGTCAGTCCGACTATGACCACCATGGACACGGACGAAATGTGGAGGACGTGGATAATTATCGCTGCAGGGATTGTGTTTGTTGTGCTGATCATCATTGCGGTAGTGGTAAGTTTTTTTTGTTTGTTTTTTTTTTGTTCTTTGTTTGTTTGTTTGTTGTTGTTTTTCAATCTTAATTTTAGCAGGGCTAAAAGTTTTTAGATCGTTTTTACATACCGAGGGCATTTCTATTTTGTTTGACCATAAGCTTCTTTTCAATCGTATTCAAGCCATTATAAAATTTCAGAGATTATTGATAACGACAGGAGCGTATTTTTTTTTCTTTGTTTTAAACTTTTAAATTGAAAGTAATTTGTTGTGAACATTTTCTCCATATGTAAGTCAAGACTAATTGCTCCTTGATAATAAGTCAGAGTTTCCTTAAGCTTCTTCAGTGTCAAAGTAAGCTTTTCTTTAGAGCCCAACTCCCCTCCCTTCCTCTCAGCTATGGGTTCTGAAGATAGATCCATAAGAGACTGGTTTAATTTCACTCGGAACTACTCGGATGTCTCCGCACTCGACAATAGTATGGAGCTTGCGGAATCAGCCGAGGATTGCCGATTGGGTTTAATTTTTCAGATCGTGGCGTACCTGAACAGAGCAAAGTACAGGAAATCCTTCCAGAGTGATCTCCCGCCACTGCATAAATATGACGTGCACAAGAAATCGGATGAGACGCAGGCCTACGAGAACCCTGCGTTCAGCGCTTACAACAAGTTCTAGCAAAGCGAAAGTTTGGTTCAAAAACGCTCCATGTGACACGTTTTGTCTTTACTTATTAAATAACATAGTTGTAAGCAAACTCACAATTTATTTAGACCCCCATGTCTTCCTGTGTATTGTTATAATTCAGGACTTTGAGACATTTCCTCAGACGTAAAGTACCTTTAGGTCTTGTGACGTTTAAATTTTAAGGGGGTTTCAACATCTTTCAACATGGTTAAAATAGACCCTAGAAATAACAAACAAAAATCTCGTTTCATTTATTTCGCATTAAAGCAAGCATATATGTTTATGCTCCAATGCGACTAATTTTACACACAAAAATAATGAATTTTTTTAAGTGGCTTGATTCAATTTAAATAGTCTGTCCATTTCTCAAAAGCCAGTTTAATGTGCAACACTACAATAATTTTGTTTGACATGTGACTTTATTAATATTCATCTGAATTTATTACAATATTCACAAACTTCTACACAATTTTGTACAGCACTAGTGCAATATGTACAGTGCTGTCCCCTATTGCAGGTTTACAGATCAGTGCTGCCACCTATTGTTTAGCTGTGAGTCGAATAGTCATGTCACCTACTCTGGATTTCTTTTAAAAAGTATTTCAAGAGTTGCATTTTAGAAATATCCATACTCCATGAATAAAAATTGAGAATGTTGATATTTGAGGGATAAACTTCCTGATACCTAGAACTTCTGTCTTAAGTGATGTAGCATGTACAGTGCTTAGAGTATAACCCTTAACTGGGTGTATTTTTGGTTTAGTCTATGAAAGATTCAACATTTCCACCCAAGAAGATGTGAAAATCACTTTCTGTGCATGGGCACAAACTATTTTTCCACCTATGTCTATAATTTTGGACAAAAATTGAATCCTTCATAAAAATCAAAGTGCTGTTACAATATAACCAACTGATATAAACATTTTTTCCGGTTATCACTACCTTATTTACATGTGTGAAAGGAATACCTATACGGTATACAAGAAGATTTTTTAAAAATCGATAAAAAAATCAATATAAATCCTATGGTAATTGTCAAACAGTTTAAAATTTGAGGATACTTAGGAATAAATGAGTATTTACATCCTGCAATACTCTAAAGGTGATTAAGGCTTTGTTTTTGAAAGCTATTATCTATTTTCGTACATCTTTGTTTCATGTCAGAATTTATCTTCAGTATGAACAGTTTTATCTTCTGTTATGTAATAATGTTATGATATTTATCAATTGCCACAAATCATCAGTATATATATATATAATTTTTTATCATTATAACTTTCTTTCTTTAAGTGTAACTTTTTCTTACTAATAAATGAAATATTTTACTACAATGACACCTGTTTATTATTTTGAAATTCATTTCTAAAAACTCGTGCCATTATAAACCCCAGATCAACTTCCCATCCACAGCTGAAAGCAAAAGCCTTTATGAACGTATTTGTAACGTCCTGATATAATACTATAATATAGCTGATATATATTCATATAATTACAAAGCTGTTCGGGCGAGTTTACTGTGACCGTTTTTTAAAATACTAGATTAAGGCTGCATTCACAACCAAAGTTGTGCCACGGACCTACAGATCCATGGTTCAAATATGGCAGATCCGCTTGAAAACTTACCGCGGAATCCCTGTGGGGAATCTACTCGGTGTCTATTAGGAGATAATGCGGCAAGTATTCAGGTGGGTCAGTCATATTTGATCCACAGATATCTTAGTCCCCAGACCAACTTGTTCTGAATAGGCCCTAACACTGTTACCTCTTTATCCATGGTGTCTTTAAGATGTGTAAAAAAAAAAAAAAAACTAACCAAAGCAAATATCATTTTAAATCAACATCACATGGATAATTATGACTTTTTTTCACAAAAGCAAACACTGAGCTGACAAATCAACACTCAGACACACCTCCACTCTTTTTTTTAATAATGTACCAAGACACTGAGTCCTCTAAAATAACTTATTCAATATGTTCTACATACCTAACACACTGCAGTTCATAGTATTTTCTTTCAGCAATGACTACACTATGTGACTCTGTAAAGCGTTTTTACAACTGTTGATGAAGTTTCAACAGAAGGAATGAAACCAGTCTCATTTTTTTTTCTTTTTATGACATCGGTGTTTTTTTTTTGTTTTGTTAAAAAATAATAGCTATCTATATAGAGCATTCCCAAGATAACAGAACTTCGATTGATCTCCTTCAGGACAAACATTCCCCTGTAGCTACTACCACTAAACTAACAATGACAATATTTAAAAGAAACAAACTGCTACAAAGAAAAAAATGATAATAATTAATTAAATTCAAAACCTCTTGCACACTCCTTTTGAAAAAAAAAGTGCACTTGATAAAAAAAAAATTAATGTTCCCCACACAACATTGATAACACTACCATATCTATACAAGACAGGTCACGACATCACCCATCTCTATTAAATGAGCCTAAAGCAAATTTTAAGCAACACTGTTTTCATCTGAACTATAATTACAATGCCAATATACTTTCAACTGAACAAATTTCAAGAACAAATTTGTGTCTATTCTCACCTAATGTCAAATATTCTTATTAAGATTTCAATATTACAGACACTACAGCAGCACCTTCTGTCTCTTTCTCTGTCTCTCTCTGTGACATTTTTTCCCGTCAATATAACTTCATCTCTTCTTGCCCTGCTATTTAAGCTCAAAAGTTGATAATTAGATGCAACTGCTCATTTTCTCTCTAATTATGAGCCTTTAAGAGCTGTGACGAGAGGAAAATTTGCTCCAAAGGGAGGTAGCAGGGGGTATGAAAGAGAGACAGACCTATGAAAACTCTCTCATAAATAGAATGGTTTACACCTCCAGTTGGAATATTTGGCTATTGAAACCCAGCACCACTTTGATAAAAATTATCATGAAGATAACTTAAAGAAATCCCTCAGCTTTACAACAAAACTCACTATAATAATAATAATAATAATAATAATAATAATAATAATAATAACAAAGTATCAGTGCAGTCACAACACTCACAGAGTCACTGCTCAAAATACTCTTCCAATAAAACCAGTTTCAGTCGGCTATTTGCCATATCATACACAGACTTCAATGATTTCCCAATAATTATGAAGGCAAAGTCTGGCACAATGAACATAAAAAGAAAGTCCTCTCAATAAGGAATTATTACACATTGTCTCTTTGTTTATCAAATATCTTAAAAACAAAATAAAATGAAAATTCTGACATCAGCATTACATCGTAGCTCAAAAAGGTCTTTCTTACTCTCAATCTATCCTACTTAGCTATGCTGAGCAATAAGAAGTAAGATTACACCCTGATAAAGATGGCCGACTATTGGGTCAAAACTCTTCTTGCAAATCCATAAAAACCTGATTGAGTTACAAAATAACTAATATAGCCCTTCACTTACACCTGAGAACCATAAATTTTATCATTTACCAGATGAATTCCTGTTGATGCCATCTGTTGTCTTATTTTATATCATAACTCTTGCAAATGACTGGAATTTCACGTTGCCAGGCAACCATGTGACCTTGACCTAGTTTCTCTTGACCTTGGGTGTCCTCTGTCTGACAGCAGGAGATCCGTTCTCTGACACGGTTCCTTCATCATTCTCAGTAGTGGAGTCCTCGTCCTCACTCTTCTTGCCTGGAAATTAAAAGAAGAAATAGCATTAAAAATGAGTAAAATCTTTAAGTTTTTGTAATGGAAATATTAAATCGGCACTAAAAGTAGTAGTTTTCTCAGAGGTGAAGTTATTTGCCAGGAAATAAACAGAAATGGCACTGAAAATTACAAGATATGCCAAAACTCAAGATAATCTTGTCCAGTTTATCTATATAACAAAGAAAATGCAAAGACTTGTTATTTTTAACATTGAGTGGTAGTGTTAAATTTAAAGTATAACCCACGTGGCAAGTAACATTAAAAATTTCCAGTGTTGACCATTACTTTGCTGAGATACAAGATCAACTCTCCAGCAGACGCACCTTTAACCTTCTTGCTCTTCTTTCCAACTCCGGACTTGCGTGCTGCGGAGGAGCCTGTGCTGCGCTCACGCATGCGCTTCAGGTGGAAAGTAATGAAGTTCCACATCATCCAGGCTTGCAGGAGACATATAGCAGCAAGGCAGTTGATTCTGGAATATAAACACTGTTAGTTATAACCATATTTATGTACTGGTGTATATACAGTAATATGTTTATCATCCAGGCTTGCAGGAGCCATACAGCAGCAAGGCAGTTGATTCTAGAATATAAAGACTGTTTGTTAAAACAAAACTTTTGTATTGGTGTATATGGGTTATTGATGACAGGGGAAGGTGAAGGGGGGGGGGGGGGGCAATTCGGCACATTTTAGCCTAAACTGAACAGAGTACATTTGAGCTAATGCTGTAATACTCCTTTAAAGTTCTCCATGTTTACCAGCAGAAATTTATACATTTTGATTCTTTTGCAATAGACCTAATGACAACTTGAGAACAGTTGGGACATTCAGATCAGCACTTAGGAATAATTGCAGAACTGACTAATGTAACAAAATGGCAGCTGTTAAAACTGAGGTGGGTCTCTTGCAATGACTGTACACATTCTTCGCCTGTACTGAAAAATTTTATCAGTCATGACTGTTGGGAACAACAGCTCCAGCATGTCTGTGGAAACATAGCCGAATTTTCACCAGAGATGACGTACCTTACAATCTGAGTATTGAAGTTGCCGTCCTTTATGCTCACAGCATGCACACCTGTCTGCTCCAACCCATACCTGGAACAGTAACAAATGAAGTGTGAGGTGCATTTACAGTGACCATAGGCAGGTATCTTCATAGAACTCTTGATTTTGAAGAAGAACTGAAGCAGCTTTGTGACATACTAGGTAAACTTAATATTAATTCATGATTCATATTAATGCAATTCTAATTAAATAAACATCAGTTATCCAAGTCAAGCTGAAAAATATTAGCAGAAGAAATGTAAGTGGCTAACACACACACACACACACACACACACACACACACACACACACACACATTAATTTCGTTGCAATTCCAATTAATTCAACATAGTTAACCAAGTCAACCTGAAAAATATTAGCAGAAGAAATTTTAGTGGCTGAGAGAGAGAGAGAGAGAGATAGAGAGAGAGAGAGAGAGAGATAGAGAGAGAGGGATAGAGAGAGAGAGTGTGAGAGAGTGTGAGAGAGAGAGAGAGAGAGAGAGAGAGAGAGAGAGAGAGAGTTTACGTACCAGAAAGTGAGCACAGCCAGGGTGATGCTACCCAGTCGGACCAGCACAAACAGGACGTTCCATGCCATGAATCTGGAGAAAAAATTATTGGTAATGACAAGTTCCCTAATGACTTAATTATATGAAAAACATATAACAAAAGTTTCTTACTCATTTTTAGCCTAAATGCAGGTGGTGGAAGAAAGGTCCACATTTTTCTACCCCCCCTCCAAAAGTAAAAATAAATAAATAAAATAAAATAATAATAAAATTAAGAAATAAAGAAAAGTATCTTACCCAGTATTTGCCAGGTCTGTCCTATCAGCAAAGTACAGAAGTCGGGCGGAGTGAAACACAGCCTCCACAAAGTAATGCAGAACCATCATGCACAGGGCAACACGAGTGAAACTGAAATAAAACGTAAACAATATTATCTAGTTTTATCACATACAGGAAGTGACTTCAATGCTTTGTTTTTCTAGGAAAATTTTGGTGTTCACTTCTGTGTATGTGACCAATCCCTTACTGGCCATCAACCTTATTCACACCAAGGCATATATTTTGTTTTAGTTAAATAAATGTGTGTGTGTGTGTGTGTGTGTGTGTGTGTGTGTGTGTGTGTAGATCCGTAACTTGAAACATGCCTGAGAAGACCCTAACATTCAGAGATGTTTTAATGTTAAAGTGTCATACTCACTTGAGAAGATAGGCGCCCGTAATAAACACAAAGTACAGAGCTGCGTATGTGATCCTGCTCATCATTTCCTCCTGAAAAATAAAACAAACAAAAAAAAAATCCTAATAAATTAACAAACCATTACAATTAATAAGTGGAAAAAAGAATAGCAATTACACCAATAAAACAAAAAGGCAGTCGTAATATGCTTGTGATCCATTTGATCTGTACTGCACTCCATTCTGGTATAAATCTAGAGTTGTGTTGATGATTGTGCTGGAGGTAAAAGATGTGTTAGGTGAGACACAAATGTTGATAAGATCTGTTGGGTGAGACAGACATGTGAGGTGAGATGTGTTACCTGAGACAATTGTGTTGATAAGATGATTGTGTTAGGTGAGACAGATGTGTTAGGTGAGACATGTTAGGTGAGACAATGGCATTGATAAGATGGTGTTAGGTGTGGCAGATGTGTTAGGTGAGACAGTTGTGGCAAGAAAATTTACCTTCTTAACCTTCTGGAAGTAGAGCTCAGGAATACAGTGAACCCAGTATGCAATCTGAGTGATGAAGTAGAACTTGATCACAAACCTGCAACACGAAAATGACAAGTAAGACAGAAATATACATTTTTGTTTTACAGGAAATAAACCCAGGAATTTAATTATTAACGGTAAGGTGTAATATCTTTTAATGGAGGAGAAACCAAATCCTGCAAAGAATCTTCTTAAAAATTAATTTAATACAATAATATGCAAAAATCAAACTTACATTCTTTCATAAAATGAATATTTAATTCTCCCTTTTTCAAATATTTTTAAAAAATCACCAAAAATAACACAATAAATGAATCAAAATTACACCTACTGTAGAATTCCATGAGGATAGCCCTCCCATAAGTTGCTGATGCTGGTCACAAAGTCATTCTAAAAAACAAAATAATTTCATTTCATAAACGTATAAAATACTTCTACTGAAATTATATTGTGTTTTAAATGTGTGATCTTATTATTTATCCATACCCATAGATTTGAAAGTAATTTATAATTAACCACAGAAAAAGACAACCATTATCCAACAATTATATATAATAGCTTCCTCCTGCATCAGTGTAATCATGAAAAAAAACTGCTGGATTTTTATTAACTTGCAAGTTAAACTACTTTCACAAGCAGATTTACGCTGCATGGAGCTTGATAAAAAAAAAAAAAAAAAAAAAAAA